GGTTCCAATCTTGGTGGGGACATTCACTACGACCTGAGTCTACACCCATTGACACGGGGTCTCCCCCAGAATTTGTTGTGTAATCACACACTATATTTGCAATAGTGTGTTGCCTTCTATACTAAACTCAGCTGTAGACTGAATGAGAAGCAGTTAAAGGAATAGTTCACCGTTTTTACATACTGACATATGGACTTACCTTACCTTAGACTAGTTAATACGTACCTGTCTGGTCTTAGTCCGTGCGCTCTGTCATGCAAACGGAGCAAAAACGGGAGCACAACCGCAGCCTCCTCTGGTCACTGTATAGTACCCAAAAGGTAGCTCCCGCTAGAAGCTACCAAACTCTTCCAAGTGTTCCCTATTAAATGTATATAGTTACGTGACGTGTTACACTGCAAAGTATAGTAACACAGAAATGTAACAGTCGATTTTCTCAGCGGATAAAACGGGTACTACAGTATATTGTGAGGCGTAGTAATCTGAGTAGCGCTACGTCCGCGCACTAACTTCTCTCCGGAGACTTCTCTCTCGCTCACTTCCGTCAATAGAAGCAGCGTGACTTGTAGTACACACAGTAGCAGCGAGAGAGAAGTCTCCGGAGAGAAGTTAGTGCGCAGAGAAGTTAGGAGCGCTACGTCCGCGCACTAACTTCTCTCCGGAGACAAAACGGTGAACTATTCCTTTAAGGATTTTTTCTAATAGTTAAAACAAAATCAATTGGATCAGAGCTTCTGCGTTTTGTGTTGCGTTCATTCTATACTGACTTAAACCTAATCCAAATCTACATAATAGCCCTCACCTGAGGCTCTAACAGTTCAGGAACTGCTCTCGATACTTGAAATAAATCATGCTCTGATCTTTCAATTTCCTATAATAAATAAAAACAGAGGAGAAAATATTGAATTAGAATCTACAGTGAGTATCTCACTACATTGTTTGACATATACGATCAATCTCTAAAAATAATTCATAGTCCCATGCATACCTACAAAATTCCAACCTCCCCTGATGCACTGAAGGGCCTGTTGCTTCTACCACAACATTCCCTATATTGTTCTCTCTTGTTGGTTGAGTTTCCTATGTATGTTAACAGAAGATTAATCATCACAATTCATAATTTGCTATTACTTGTGCTTTCTCTTACTTACTTTCCAACTGTTAAAAAAGCTCCTGATATCTTTTATCTTTTTTTGTGGAGGTGGCATTTTTTCTAAATTATATAAGAAGGTATAGAAAATCAAAAACAGACATTCATATACATGAACTGCAGAATCATTTATATAGCTTGGCCAATGTCAAAAGTTACATAGTATTTCTCAATACAATGAGTTAACAAGAGTTTGGCAAAAAGTAACAGTGTGGATTTTTCTATATTTTCTTTTTTTTATTCCACTCTCAACCCAAAAAGGCAAGTAATGACTCACAGGGCTCTCAAGTATGCAAAATAAAAACTTAAATGACCTGTTGTGGTGTGTTTTGCGCACAACCAGCATGCATCGTTAACGCAATGGAAAATTTACGTATCCGAGCTTTAATTTCGGGAGCGCTGGTTGCGCTTTGGGAAGAGTCAGGGGAGAGACATGTCAGAGACACAGGGGAGAAACGGGGGAGATACGAGGGAGACCCGCACTTGCAACATGGTTCTGTCTGCATATGGTCCGAGCTCGGTACCATGTTAGAGCTGTGCTTTCACTGAGCGCCGCGGCTGTCATTACAAAGCGGCATCAGCTGCACCAGGACGTGCACATTCGAGTGCATCGCTTGAATGTGCTTAGAGCAAATAACAGCAAGTGCCCGCTGTCACACATTTCACAGAAATTACATTATCGGCAGATAAGGGTTGTAAATCGTGGATCCGTGGAATATTTTCATCCCTAGTTTATCCTGATTCACACAACACACCCACTCATACATTTTGGATAGTAAGAGCACAATAAGTATTTTTTCAGCCTTTCAACCAACCTGTTTCTTTATTGGAGCCAGTTCTGTTCTGTCTCTGTGCCGTGTGAGCTCCTCGGAACATTAAACAGTGCGCTGACAGATTAGAAATAACGTAAGTACTTTGAATGGTAATAGATCTACAGTACTTTCCTCTGATTACTCACGTGCTACAACGCTCAGGGAACGAAAAAAAACACTTGCTTCACGCTGGCTAACTTTAAAAAATTAAACAGTTGCTCAGTGCTTCAGTTTGGCGCTGAAGAAGACAGCCAATCACTGCAGAGAACGGAACGGGTCACGTGCTGCTGTGTCCCGGACCGTCTGGGTCACGGGACACATGTCATTTTGGTGGGGACTTTTTAGTCCTCACCAAATATTGGTGGGGACATGTCCCCATGGTCCCCACGCAAACCTACGCCCTTGCACTACAGATGTGTCATTCATATTGAGGAATTATCATCCTTTTAACCCTTTCATGCATCGTGGTCACTACAGTAGACAGCTATTCAATAGTTGTTCTCTTTGAAATGTGGGAGTTTTAAAGTCACAGTTGCACTTTAGTCACTATAGTGGACCCTGATGTGTCCTGCCATATGCACTGCTTCATACTGGTAAACATACAAATGTAAAAAAAAAAAACTCTCAAAAAAAGATGGCCGACAAAAGAGAAAATATGCTTAGTGGAGGAGGAAAATCTGTTCATACATGATAATCCAGGAAAGTTTAACAGCTAAACAAATATGTGGACGTCAAGTAGCATCTTAGGAGCCGTATAATTGTTGAAAAATCCAAGTATTGATTTTCTGTTTTGAGAAAATTGCAATGAATCATGTTTCCACCAAAGTGGACGTTGGGCATCCTGAGCTATATTTTGTATACAAAGCATAGTGTTGCTGCAACTTAGTTGTTTCTGGAAAAACTTCATTTTCAGTATAGTTTTGGCTGTGAATAAATTTGATTTTTTTTATATATATTATATCTTGTGAATACTAGTCATATCATGAGAAGAATGATCCTTTTCCATTTGTTTTGTAGCGGTCAGGGGCAGAGCAGAATAGAAAAGCCTAGAGGACAGTCCAGGAATTACCATCTGACTCAAGTGAGGGTGATGTTAGTGGCAATGATGAAGAAAGGTACCAGACAAAAGACAATTAGTAAATGGTAACAGCTGTGACTGTGAAGTTGAAGAAATTTCTGAGGCCTTTGAGGAGAATGAGGAGGCTGAAGGAGATGGTGCTGTCCGACTTGACCAAGCTCAGTAACATAAATATAGTAGATAGCAGACATGTCTGCAAAGCCAAAGATTATAAGTTTGAGGGACAATTTACTCTTTACTTTTTAGTGGTGGGTGGAGATTGAGAGAGGAGCCCCAATAAGTTTCTTCATTCATTTAATTCAGAAAGATCTGATTGATGATATAGTGGTCAACTCAGACCTCCATGTGTGGCAAAGTGGAAAGTAACGACTGGGCTTTGCACCAAGTGAACTGAAGAAGTTTCTATGGATTCATTTGGTCGTGCCAGACTCAAATACCTCAGATGTACAAGTCTGTGCAGATGTGAAAGTCTTGTTTTAGTTCCATTCTGATAAGTACCAGCCAAGTTCATTATAGTATTTCAGACATTTAGTCAGTTCAACTAATGTGTTTTTCTTTGGTTAATGTTTCAGGCAACACATTTTATAGGCTTGGAATATAATAAAATAAGAAAAATACAATGCTAAAGATGAAATCATAATGTCCTATAGTTTACACAGTTTTCTTATTCCTTTACTCAAATGCACGTCGTCCACTATCGAGGACATGTCACCAACTCCATAGAGATTTCCAATTTTTTCAAAATGATAATATTTTCTACCTTTTCATTCCTCAAGAGTAATTAAAACAGGAAAAAAAATCTTGAAGAAGCCTTTCATAATTCATGCATGAAAGGGTTTTTAAATACAGTCCACTTCCATCTTGATCATCGTCTGCATCAGATTCTTGTTTATCCGTAAATCATTTCTAAAAGATACATGTGTGACATTAACATGAAGCAAAATATTTTCAACCTCACTTTATCTCCTTTAATCATTTTTGCTTACATTTTTATTCCACAAAACACGGATTACTCCTTTTTGCATACTTAAACACAAGACTTGTGGAATTTACCTAACTTACAGCATGTCGGGAGGACGGAAAAAAGAACAAAACTTTGCGACGGCTGTTTTTCACTCAAACAGGAGCTAAAATTTCTTCAAGACCGAATGCTTGTGCTTGAATCAGAATTGGGGCTGAACACAACAATACCAGTGAAGGGACATGGACCAAATGGACAGAAAGTTATGATGACGCTATTTCATTTCCCAAAATCAACAGAGACAATTGTTGGAACACATTTGGTGCCAAGCCCAAACAAGGCAAAGCTAATGATAACAAGAGTGTCATAATGCCACAGCAAAAATCTTTAATTACAAGGAACCGCTATTCACCACTTTTGGAAGATGAATCAGAAGTAGCGTCTCAGTCTCAGTCAAGGTCAAATGCAGCCGAGTCGCTCTTTATCGGGGATTCGGCGATTAGGAACGTAAACATGCGTAATCTGAAGGTTCACTCAGTACACTCGGCCAAAGTGGATGAGATAAGGCTGTTGGCTCCAAAGCTTCTGTCTGAGACCGGCGGGGTAAAAAGATTGTTGATCCACGTGGGGGCAGTGGACATCTATGAGAACACAAGTGAAAAGTTGAAACGGGATTATTCCCTCTTATTGGACGACCTTGCTAAAATGGACGTAAAAATTGTTATCAGTGGCCCACTACCAAATGTGGACGGGAAGCAAATGAAATTCAGTCGTCTGTATCAGCTAAATACTTTCCTACTCAACAAATGTTCACGCAGAGGACTTGCCTTCATTGAGAATTTTAATCTGTTCTGGAATAGGCATGAGCTTTTTGAAGGGAAAGGGCCACATCTGAACACTTATGGAGTAAAAGTGTTGCTGGATAACCTTTCTTTTGCCCTGAGACCTCAGCCTGCGCAGCGCGTGCAGCCATCGAAAGGGAGGAAGCCGACTCCAAACCTCGAAGGATCTCAACACCTCCACCACCTCGAAGGATCTCAACACCACCACCACCTCGAAGGATCTCAACACCTCCACAACCTCGAAGGATCTCAACACCTCCACCACCTCGAAGGATCTCAACACCACCACCACCTCGAAGGATCTCAACACCTCCACCACCTCGAAGGATCTCAACACCACCACCACCTCGAAGGATCTCAACACCACCACCACCTCGAAGGATCTCAACACCACCACCACCTCGAAGGATCTCAACACCTCCACCACCTCGAAGGATCTCAACACCTCCACCACCTCGAAGGATCTCAACACCACCACCACCTCGAAGGATCTCAACACCTCCACCACCTCGAAGGATCTCAACACCACCACCACCTCGAAGGATCTCAACACCACCACCACCTCGAAGGATCTCAACACCTCCACCACCTCGAAGGATCTCAACACCACCACCACCTCGAAGGATCTCAACACCTCCACCGTCATCAGAAGCAGCTGCATCATCACCAGCAGCAGCTGCATCATCACCAGTAGCAGCAGCACGACCACCACCACCAACATCTTCATCCCCAGCCTGCTCCGAAGCAGTCACGCCTTCTTCATCTACAGCACTTCTGAAGCCCCCATCCTCACCCCAGGCTACAGCAGACAGGCCTGTGCTGGGGTTTCCTCAACCACCTGCCCCTCCATCAAAGACTCCCTCCTGTCTTGGGTCCCCCCTGCCACGTCCACTCCATCAAGAGAGAATGGGGACCTGTCCCTTTGTTTTTCATCCCCGCCTTCACTGTTAGACCTACCTGAACACTCTGCAGGGTTAATAAAATCGGCAATGAAGACTATTCCTCTCTCCAACATTCAAAACCACTCCCCACATGTACCTCCAAAACCACCTAGGGTTTCCAATACACCTACAAAAACCACCTCAGCCAGTCCCTCCCCTAACCTCATGACCATTCCATCCCCACTTCCCCCTCGTTCAACACCCAAAACCTCTGCCTCAGCCCACCCCGCCCCTAACCCATCACCAAAAACCCCTCCACCTCCCTGCCCCCCTCGTTCAACACCTAAAAGCCACCCACCTCTCCATCCTCCTCCCCCGCCTTCCCCTTCCCCTCTTTTCTCTAAACACTAGGATGCACAGGATCTCTGCTTCGCAGCCACTGGCAGTCTAGTTAGAGGAGAGACCCGGCTGGGGCCCTGTCATGAAGCCACCTGTGCCATTCCCTTAGTGATAACACAAAGAATACATTACAGAAAGACATCTGGAGTTAATCAGTCTAATCTGGAAAATCTAATTCTTGTTCCGTGTAAGAATCAGCCGACCACAACCGCTGATACTGAAACTTTGAAACTTTCTACGCTTAATGTCAGATCTCTTTGTAACAAGTCTTTTTTAATCAATAATTTTATTTGTTCTTATAATCTAGATCTTATGTTCATGGCTGAAACTTGGCTTGACCAAAATTCAGGAAATGCAGTTTTAATAGAAGCATCACCACCAAATTTCAAATTTGAATCTGAAAACAAAAAAGGAGGTGGCTTAGCTGCCATTTTTAGAGACCACTTTGTCTCCCATAGAATGTCTCTGGGGAAGTTTTCGTCATTTGAATATGTGTCTTTTAAAATACAACAAAAACAATCTCCTCCAGTACTCTTCATTGTCCTATACAAGCCACCGCAGTCATGTCACAGTTTTATTGATAATTTTACCGAGTTGCTTTCAGTTGTATGCACAGATTTTGATAGTTTGGTTATTACAGGTGATTTTAATATTCATGTGGATAATGTTGATGACAGAAATGCAAATGAGCTGAGTTCTGTACTTGAATCCTTTGGTCTCACTCAGCACGTGAGTGGCCCCACCCACAGCAGAGGGCACACTCTAGATCTGTTAGTTACTAAGGGGGTGAATATTTCAAATGTAAACGTGGTCGATGTTGCTCTTTTGGATCATTTCTGTGGTTTTTTTGACATGTGTTTCACTAACAAACCACCAGTGGACTCTGCAACTGTTCGAAGAATAAATGAAAATACGAGTGATCTATTTATGGGAATGATAAACTTTGAGAATGCATCGTGTTCTACTGTAGATGAACTGTTTAACTCTGTCACCTCTAGTGTTTTGAATGTTCTGGATACCGTTGTCCCTGTGAAGGTTAAAATAGTGAAAAATAAGCAGAAGGCGCCGTGGGCTAAAGCAGACTCGGTCAGGGCACAAAAGAGAAAGTGCCGGAGGGCCGAGCGGAAGTGGCGCAAGTCCAACCTCCAGGTTGATTACGAGATCGTCAAAGATAAGTTGTGCGAGTTTAACCGGGTGCTACGTAGTACGAGAGAAAGGTATTTTTCTGAAATGATTGAAGGCTGCAGCAACAATCTGCGTGTTCTGTTCTCAACAGTTAATAGATTAACAAACCCCCCTGTTCAGATGCCATTAGAGCTTACTTCCAAACGTAAATGCAATGAGTTTGCTAATTTTTTCAATGACAAGGTTCAAGGCATCAAAAATGCCATTGTCTCCAATCCACAGATAACCATCCAACAGCCAAAAAGGCTCTCTGAGCTAATTCACTTTGCACCTGTAAATGATCAAACTGTCCAAGAGATAATCTCCAGTTTGAGCTCCTCCGCATGCAGCCTGGATGTACCCACTAGATTTCTGAAGTCTGTTCTGAGCAGTCTGTTACCTTCACTCACACAGATAGTAAACATGTCCCTTCATTCTGGAATATTCCCAAAGGCTCTGAAAACTGCAGTCATCAGGCCCTTGCTAAAAAAGAGCAGTCTGGATGCTACGGTACTTAACAACTATATCGTCCCATCTCAAATCTGCCATTTATGGGGAAAGTCCTTGAGAAAGTTGTCTTCCAACAGCTTACTAGATTTCTTATAATCAACAACTCATTGGATATGTTTCAGTCCGGATTTAGACCCCACCACAGCACTGAGACTGCTCTCGTTAAGGTTGCCTGAGTGCTGCCCTTGACACTGTCGACCATGAGATCCTCTTACAGCGACTAGAGCACTGGGTTGGCGTCGCTGGCACCGCCCTAAGTTGGTTTAGGTCTTACCTTGAAGACAGAAAGTACTTTGTGGAGATTGGAAACTGTGTCTCAGATCATATGGCCCTGACCTGTGGAGTACCACAGGGGTCGATCCTGGGACCTCTTCTGTTCAATCTCTACATGCTGCCGTTAGGTCAGTTAATACGCAGAAACAAAGTGTCCTATCACAACTATGCAGACGACACTCAGATCTATGTCTCACTGACTGCAGGAGGACATGGACCAGTGGACTCACTCCTTCACTGTATCCAACAGATCAGTGAGTGGATGCAAAACAACTTCCTTCAGCTAAACGCAGACAAAACTGAAATGATTGTCTTTGGTCCCCAGAAACAAAGAGAGAGCGTCATCTGTCACCTACAGTCTCTCTCCCTAAAACCTTCAAACAAGGTCAGAAATTTAGGGGTAATACTGGACTCAGACTTACATTTTAATAGCCACATCAAATCAGTAACATCAGCAGCTTTTTACCATCTAATAAACATTGCCAGGATCAAAAACATAGTGTCACGGTGGCTGAGTGGATAGCACTCTCGCCTCTCAGCAAGAAGGTCCTGGGTTCGAATCCCGGTCGGACCAGGGCCTTTCTGAGTGGAGTTTGCATGTTCTCCCCGTGTCTGCGTAGGTTTCCTCCGGGTACTCCGGTTTCCCCTACCACTAAAAATATGTCCAATAGGTCTGGCATGTGCCTCCTGTACTGGCGACCCCGCTCCCATCTCTGTGTGGAGTGAGAGACAAATGCCCAAAATGAACAATTGTAAACCGCTTTGAGACTCAGATCTGCAGTGAAAAGGCGGTGTATATAAATAAAAAAAACTTACTTACTTACTTACTAAAGCAGACTTGGAGATTCTTATCCATGCATTTGTCTCCAGCTATGGTATTCAGCATAAAACGTCTTCACCACACACACCACACTCCAATGGTGAAGCAGAGCGAGCAGTGCAAACAGTAAAGAGGCTCTGGAGCAAAGCACCTGACAAACACCTTGCTCTATTAGACTACAGAACGACTCCGCTTGAATCAGTTGGACTGTCACCTGCTCAGCTGCTCATGGGTAGGAGGCCTCGCAACAAACTGCCAACTGCACGTGCTCTACTCAAGCTCATGAGCTACGACTCTCTTAAAGTAAAAGTTCTTCTGGACAAGACAAAGCACACCCAGAAACTCTATCATGACAGGAGAGCAACACGTCCTCGTCCGGATCTAAAGCCGGGGGATGAAGTCAGGATTGTACCTTGTAGCGTTTGCCATTTCTGCAGCAGTCTAACGCTTTACCAGTCACCAATGTGGTCAGTTAGCGCTTTCTATTCACGGGAGAAAACAAGACGCCATCATCACTCTGGTGCACGAACTCACGGCACTATATTTTATTGCGCATGCACACAATAACAAACTAGTGCACGCAGGCACATGACATCACCACGTACACTATTTAACATGGCTTTGCTTATTATATCAAATATGCTTAACACTCCCACTCAAAGACATGTTTGCAACTCTCAATAGTGATGTACAAAAACAAACAAAAGCATAACTCCAAAATCAAAACATTTGGCATACTGGCAGTGTTAAAACTTCAAAACACATTTACATCGGCCAGTTAACATTACTCTCCAAACAAATACTCTTTGAATTTCTCAAATCTTGCCTTTGTCACTGGCTTGGTAAGAACATCAGCTACCATGTCTGCAGTAGGACAGTATTCAATGGAAATGTTCCCCTCTGTGTGTGCAGACCGAACAAAATGGTATTTAATATCTACGTGTTTGCTCCTTTGTCTGCATACAGGGTTTTTAGATAGAGCTATTGCCCCCTGGTTGTCTTCATATATTTTGACTGGTAAATGCTTATTACTAGCATCTACACCTTTAAGAAGTTGCACAAGGTACATACTCTCTTGAGTAGTGGCTGCTAGGGCCATATACTCCGCTTCACAGGTGGAGAGAGCCACTGTAGGCTGTTTCCTGCTCTTCCACAAAATAACTGGACCATTCTCAGTTAAGCTGAAACAGTATCCTGTTGTGCTCCTCCTATCATTTTTATCAGCTGCCCAATCAGCATCACTATATCCCTCAAGCTTAAGGCTTTTCTCACTTTTCTGGAAGTGGAGCTCTTGGTCTGCAGTGCCCTTTAAGTACCTGAGAAGGTGCTTTGCTGTAGTCCAATGCTGTTGCTTAGGTTCTGATAGGTGTTGTGATAGTTTACTCACAACCCAGCTCAAGTCAGGTCTTGTACATGTCATAATGTATATGAAGCTACCTACAATCTCTCTGTAACCAGTTGAATCGATAACTTCACCCTCACTGTCAAAATGTAACTTTAGCTCGCATGGAGTGGATCTTGGCTTGCATTCTGACATTCCAAACTTTGCTCAAATTTTCTCTATGTGTCTCTTTTGCGTCATTTGGATCTTTCCTTCACTTTGTCTGAAATCAATACCCAGGAAGTGTTTAAGTGGACCCAAATCCTTCATCTTAAACCTTTTCTGCAACATTT